CCTCATTAGATTTTCGAAATTACTGCATATACGCTACATTCCTGATATCGCTCTATTTACAATGGATTTTAAACGAAAGCTTTGTCCAGATGAAATATTGGATAGTATTAATCTATCGGAAGAAGAAAATATGGCACAATAAAACTCAGCAATGGCGCTAAACAATGCATCCATCGATATGTTTCATCATTCCATTTTTAGAAATCCTTATTTTTGCTATTCGTATTTTTCATATCTTTATGCAATTAAAACGGCAATAACACTGCGTATTGTGTATTTTAGTCGAACAGATTTTTAGGCTGGATGTAATGCGTAAATTTCCCCGTGTATCGTTTACAAGTCGTTAGTCGCTTCACGAGTACGAACTTAAGTAAATGACGTTACGAGCATGTGAGGAAAAGTGTTTTTCGTACGAAACGTAAACGTGCTACGTGCCAACGTAATTGCTTAACGTCGCTGCGTAACGGCGTAAATGTGTTAGGTCGTTATTTACGTCACCTTGACGTTGCCTCGATCTTGCGACAAACAAAATCACGAATAAAAATGCTTATAAAATTTGAATGGTGCTACATAAGTTCAATCTAATGGTATCACTGGAAAGCTATCTTCAAATTCTACAAATTTTGTCGATAATGTACCAGGTTTAATCGAAAACAAATTGAAGTTTTGTCAATTAGATTTGAGCAATTTTCAGAAGTTTTTTATGCTTTTTAATTTTGCCAATTTTCATAAGATGATCACAATATTTTATCTCAATTTTAAAGTTATACTTACTCCTGTAGATTATCTTTCACACGATGTAAAACTTGTCTAAATATAATAAATGGTTCGCGAGATATGAGGTTTCAAAGTTGCATACCTCTTACGGGATGCGAAAGCCGCTAAAGCGGCTTTCAGCGTCGAAGACTTTCTCGGGAAAGCCGCTATAGCGGCTTTCAGGGTTCAAAGAGTATTCAAATTCAATGATGCGCATCGCTATATTTTCCTTGAAGCCCGGCATTTCAAATATGGTCCATCAAAAACGACTGTAAAGCAGTGGTTTTTCAGGGCATTTAATTGTTTTCGTTAATATGTATTTGGTGTCAGGTGTTTTTTACAGTTTGTTGTTATATGGGCTTTATGGAAGTTCGTTTACAAGATCATCAATTATTCGAACGTGGTGTGGCACGCGACAAGATTATTTTTAAAACTTTTGCACGAATCCCTTTTTGCATTGACAACTCCTGCTCTAAATGGCGTCCAACATATCGCCTCAACAGACTCTACACCAGTGCTCGTCAAGTGGGTGTTTGGTACACTGCATGTGGGTGTACCAAAACGTTTGAATGGTGTACCACTTTCATAAGCTGTACCGCATGTTATAGTGCAGCGGTAACAGAACCGCGGGACGCATCCGCCTACGAAGCTATTCCGTCCTGCCCGCCATACTTTGATTCAAAATGTGAAGGTGGCAAGCGTGTTTTCAACTATTCCCCTTTTAAACTCTGACATATTTGAGCGAGGTTACACTCTCACCTTGGGGGTTCGTGACACCGTATCGATACCCATATTCGAATAATTATCACAAGTAATCTTTTCGTACACTATCGATTAGCGAAGCGTCAGTAAGAGTGTAATGCATAATACGGGGATATTTAAATTTTGACACAGCGGTTTGATCTGAAGCTTCTGAAAATTATTCAACGCCCCGTGAAAGCGGAACCTCTGAATCTGGTGTAAACTAGATTCACATTGAAGCGGGATAAGAAAGCTATAAAACATCCTTTGCTCACATTAGTTCTTATAGAGTTCATTGATATTGGATTTTAAATCGGGTAGTCGTGCATTTTTCTGTTACATCGAAATTCAGCCAATCGCAAGGTGTAACGAACATTTTAGTCGATTTCAATAAAAGTAGGTTGACAACACCAGCTTTAAACGGAAGAAATGTAACAAACCCAAGATTTTAGAACAAGTTAAAAAATATATACGAGTTATGTGTAATTTCACGGTATTGATTTGCAGGCGTTATACCGCTAAGTTTAACGTTATTAACGTTAATTTAGGAACTAGTTTAGTGCCATAACTTTGTCTCGCACATTATTACGTCATTAAACAGGAGCGTGTAAAGATGATTTAACTTCGATTTCTAGGGAGGGACCATATTATAATCGAATCCAATTAACCTTTGTATACGATGTATATGCACTTGATGATCTTATTTATATTTGTGGCAGAGAGTTTGAAAAAAAAGTAATTGTTGAGTAATTGCTCGGATATTGATATTATTAATCGGTGTATCAAATCCACTATCAAGGTTAATAGGATAAAGGACATACCGGAATTCCATGGCATCTATATTTTCGGTTTCTCATCCTCCTCTAAATCTTCTGATATGGTGCTAAACCACCTTTTTTGTTCAAATTAAATCCATTGCCGAATCGTATTTATGATAGTTTTGGTTTATCCAAATACATTATTTCAATTTTTGCCAATCAATTTTCGAATTTCAGGTTCGATCCAGGTTATCCCATTTTCCAAGAAAAAAACATTTGCATAGACAATTCAGAAAAATAAAAGATTATACATGCATATAACAACAACAAAAAACCATATTACCCATATTTACAAAACTACCAACGCAATCATAATATTTACAATGGAGATCAACGAGGCCAAACAAAGATGGCACCAATCAAAACTCATCCAAGCGTGTAATTTTTCCCATAATGCACCTAGGCTACAAAATTGTTATTTTTTGAAAACGAGTGCCCGTAGTGTGTCCTAGACTAGGGCTACTGAACTGGCGGTCCAAATACAGACCTTTCGAGTATTCCATTTGGACCGCAGCTGCTTCTTGACTTTGAATGCATCGTTTCTTTTCATTTCACAATTTTGATGTAATGCAATTTTCGATAAACCACTGAGAAAAAATTCACAGAGCATCGACTCACTCGTTTACTCCCGTAGCATTGGCTAATCAGCAAGATGTCTAGGGTGGCGTGAAAACTAATTTTTTTGCGGCCGCTTGGATACGTTTTTAACAGATTTTATGGCATGGTGGTACACATTCAATTGTTTTTGTGTCTTTTCATGCTATATTTTAGTTTTAGGTTTCATCTTCGAAATTTAAAAATAGATCATATAACCCTATTTTGCAAAATAGTATCCTCTCATTTCCTGGAACCAAGTTTGAAATAATTGGCAATTACAAAAAAAAATGCAATTTCTGAGACTAACCATGAGCAAGTATCTTTGCTACTGGACACGAACTCCACTAATGAATCGTTTAGCTAATATTCTTGTGAACGTTGTGGCTTTTCCTAAGCTTGGCAAAATTGTACTTCTACGCGGATAATTCTTTTCCAAATACCCGCACCGAAGCGCGATTTTGAGCATCGCTCTTGTAGTTTATCAAACGATGCATATGAAATTATGTTGGCATAGTTAAATATCTTACTTGGAAGGACCGTATTCCGGTAATTTTTAAATTTTGTGTACGGATTTTTGGTAAGAATAGTTTAGTATCCCTGTCTTAGACCGCCATTCGTTTTACATGAGATAATTATAATGTCGAATTTTGAAAAGTCTGAAAGACACCTGTTGAAATGAAATAGCTTACCCACCGTAATCAGTGACTCACCATCCCCTCTGTATATATATAATTCAGCTGTTCACAATAGCCAAATCAACAAGATTGCAGTCCCAATACATTAGATCTAAATTTGATGGAGAACGAACATCAAAGGTATACTATAGACGTAAACCAATCGTCGGAATGGAGTATGCGACTGACTTCGTTCTCTACATTATCAGTCCCATTTTGGCGACTATGATACTAGTTTCGAGATCAGGGTAATCAGAAACAGCTTTCAAGTATATATATTTCGAAGTTGTGTTCCAAATCATCTGTTCAACACAACATAAAGATTTATGGGGCTATTATGACCTATATTGTTTCATCCCTGATTCCCAATAAACGTCACCATCTGCTAGCCAGTACATAAAACTTGCTCCTGATGGTGTAGTTTGAATTTAGCTATATGCCTTCCTACCGGGTTTGATTTTGGACAATCGATATTGACGAAAATCAGAATCCTCATGTAGTAGTATGGTAATATTGAAATGCAGCATCTTTCCTATCGATCACGGAACATTATTATATCGGCAACACAGTTAACCAATTGATTTGAAAGTCAGTCTTTATTGAAAGCAGTTGCTAGACGCCTATTACTTTTATTTGTTCCTAAAGTTCTTATTAACTCTATGAGATATAATATTTCACCCTAAATTTCGCTATACTTTTTATTTTTGGGAACACGGTTTCATTTTCGCCAAGCGCGACGGCCGACGGCTGCCTTTCTTTTGTGTTTGGGAAATGGAAACTCGTGCTACGCCAAAATCGAAAGTTTTTGAAATCAGTAACGCACTGTAGACTAGATGCAGTAAGTTGCTATAAAAGGTAAACTACTGTAAAATATTAGATTCTACAGTAGTTAGTCGAATCATTTGGTATTTAAATTCACATTGGCATTAGACGCATGGATCATCATCGTCATAGGACCTGGTGAAGCTAAGGCAGTTAGGCAGTACGGATACCAAACCGGTACTCGTGAGCTGCTTCACTGTTGGGACCAGGGTATGAATTTTTGGAAATACATGGATGAAATTTTTGTTTTTGCCTTCTTGCCCATAGATTTGAGCATGGCTCTTTTGTTAGCTCATCTAATGGTTCAATATGATTTGCCCCATTAAAGTTAATTTTTAAACTGTAGGCTATACCTAATTTTTAAATTTCTAGTTTTCAACCCAACCTGTAATATACTTTAACGATCTAATGAAGAGTAAATTATAAATGAAATTTGTATAATTGCATAATAAAATATAAAAAAGAAAACGTTTGCATAATGAAAAATGCATCATTTATAATACATATATATTTAGATACATAGATAGAAAAAATACATACACACAATACATTCATTGTGTCATTTCAAAATAGTTCTGGAGTCGAAAATTTTTTAAGAACATTTTAATGCGTATTTGATTGCTTAGACTTTAGCGAAAATAGAAATCTAGCTACTTTTATGACGTTAGAAGATTCCCCATCCGATGTGTTATCCGCGTTGTAGGAAGTGATTGAGTATTTTTTTACCCTTGCCGGAGAATGAGACATAGTTGATTTTGATCGTGAAAGAGGCTGAAAATAAAACAAGAAATTTTAATTAGAATAAATAATATTTCACTCGCCAATTATTTGACCACTTTCCTGAGAAATTGAATGTATATTCAATGATTTATTATTAAAATCTTTACATCGCATTAGTATCATCAAAATACAATATACATTGCATTTGATTGCGTTGACGAGAACGCGCCACAAGATCATACACATATCAATTAAATATCATTATATAAATGACAAACCTTCGTTTTTATTAGTGATTGAATTGAACCTCTTCGATTCAGCGACAAGTCTTTCTTACTATTCAATTCGTTTTGAAAATCACATCTACAAAATCTGCAAAAAGAATAGCAACATTTATTGTGAGTTAAACAACTCTTTGTTTTCGATAGCAATGCCTTCACATAGAAAGTTGAGTATAATTTTGCATTCTACTTAAAACATGGACTACAAAAAGTATTTTCCTAAGGTTGAAGTTGTTGAAAAAGTTGTTGAAAAAGTTGTCCACCTTCCAATAATAAATTTGTGTTTACATACGTTTTCTAGAGATATAATTACCTATATAATTTTCCCGAGTCTTTGAATTCTTCCGCCGACCATTTGCCATTCACATCTTCTATAATACGTTGATTCATTATTTTTTGTAGCAGTTTTTTGGCCTGGACATTGGATAAAAAAAAATATTCAAAACATTTGGCAAAATTTTAACAACTAAACCTATAAAATTATTCTATTCCTTTCAGGTGAAAACTCGCGATTTCTATTCTAGTCTCCGTACCTGACATCTTGACACGTTCTCATAGTTTTTCATTTCCTTTAAAATAGAATGCATTGTGGTGACAGCAGATGAACCGGTGAAACAATCTTCATGAATTCTAAGATTCTTTCTTCTTCGACCGCAATGCATTTGTGTTTCGAACGAATTCACAATTACGTTCCATATCCTTGTTGCTTTGAAAGCTTTGTTTTCTGATTTTGTGTTTTCGATGGGACAGTTGTTGTAATCTAATTCTCTATTTTGATTCTCCATAATTTTCCAAGATGTGCTGCTAATTAAGATTTATTCTTACTTAGCTATGCTAATTATGTTAACTGACTTTCTAAATGAGGTATATATATAAATAATTATCAGCGAAGAAAGATAAACTTGTTATGATCAAAATATACCTCGATAATTTACTTGTAAATAAACTGACAGTTATGATAAAAAGATAAAGCTTTTATTGAACCGCCGCTATTCATTAGTAATGTAATAACATGGGATTCATACAATCAGACCCACGTCGTTTTATAATAAACATTATCTTAAGGCACCGGCACCATAACACAGTCAATTACGCTCTCATTTTTTGTTACAGTTTTGTCGTGAATAACGAAAGAATGCTAAGGAAGAAGCATGGCAACTTCTCCGATAACTCTTAACATGTGACCTAGGTAAGTGCCAAAGCATATCAAGTTCATTTACATATTTACTCTTACTGCATTTGCAGTCAAATTAACTTATTCCATTTTATTTGTACGCTTGCACAGCTGCTATTTTTATTCCCATCTTTTGCTTGTTTAACAGCGTGATGCAATTATTGTAAATAGCTTTCGTGTCCATATATTTGAGCGTTTCTCTCTTGTTTTATTTGGAGACGTCGAGCCTGAACACATAAACTTTATTATTGATTAGAATAGCTCAGAATCAGAAGTTCAGAACCATATCTGAGTTGTCCTGGCTGACATTTCCATTCGTCCCAATGGGGCGATCAAAAACACAACTATTATTAACGATTATCAACATTATTATCATATTTTTGAAATACTGCATATGTTTATTTCCCTTGTCAATATTAATGAATGATCACAAGACATTTTTGGTACTACTAAATAACGCCTCCGTTGTGAAATACACTTCCTTCCATACAGAGCGGTACAACTAATATCAGGTCAAAATAATGCGATAAACGTACAGGACAATATTATTATGAGAATACCATATTATTACAAACGGGAGAATTAAATTTAAATGTTTTATTCGTTGAAAACAGGTTTTCTTGCGAAAATCGTCGAAAGCAGTGCAATATCTCGTACAAAATGAACAAAACTAGGCTTACCTACCAATCTATAAGAAGCAGCAAATATTCCAACAAGCTAATAAAGTTCAAACTACAAACTTGTAATTTAGTCAGGTACGCAGCAAATTCTCGATTTGACTTGAAGTTGATTCAAATTAATGTGATTCTGATTTCTATTTCAAATACAACATTTGCTCCTGCACATAGGAGCTATCTCGTCAAGCCATTAATTTTATTTTATTTTTTGGGCCAAAACTGATCGTGAATATTTGTTACCTTAAATACCCTAAAAAAATATTTGTAATCTCACCCGACCCAATCATTTGGCGAGCATATAATTTTGTGGAAAATACCTAATTGAATATCGATTTTGAGACTACTATCGACAGTAGCAATTTTCTTACACAAAAATGTAAGAAACTTAGCATATAAAATAGTAAATAATTACATTCAGCCTATTCTGGGCTGAGACTTATGGGCTCTGTGTTTAGAACACAATTCGAGGTTTAATTTGAGAGACGGCAACTCGAAGATCTTCTTCTCCTTCTAGCCTTGATCTGTATTTGTTTTGATGTATGAAAAAAAACGCAGAAAACATCCTTTAACATAAGTAGGTAGTTCCGAATGGAAAAAAAAATTCATTGCAGCCGGTGATAACTCCGGAAATTCTTTTGCAACGGAAACCCAAAATTTAGCCCAAGTGTTTTTGGCATCAAAGGCGACGGGGTTTCCAAATCGCAGTCTGCGGGTCAATTACGGCCCGTGTAACGATTTAAAATGGCCCGCCAAGACGTTTTTTTAGATAAATGGCAGCGTTTTTATTTCTTTATTGAAAAGAATCAAACTTTGCGATTTGTCTTCCTTGCCAACAAAATATTTCAGTTCTGAAGCAATACAACATTATGCACTATTATAATCAGTTGACGCACGTATTTCAAAATTTAATTCATTGCTCAATTCATACAAAAGTTAAACAAACATGTTTAAAAAAAATGTGAAATGAAAGTGAATCTACCGTATCGGCCAGTTAAAGTGTAGCCCGCAACACTGCTAAAAAAATCGCTCGTTTGTTGAGGGGCAATTTTCGCGCGAATGTATGCTGCAACTGCAAGTTTTGGAAGTTATTTCTCCTGACATGAAAAGTTAATTTTCCAGCATCAGGCTTTCTAACAACACAATTATGAACGTTAACAAATCAAAACTTTGGCCGAGACTGACAGACAATCACTTGAATGCGTTATTTGGAATATATATAATGTAATGAATTGGAGCCACGTTTTGAACATCTGATTTCGAGCAAAATCGAATTACACACATATATATTTATACACATACACTATGTTAACTAAACTGAATTATGGCATTTCGTTTTTTATTATATTATATATATATACACATTGGAATGTTTTTTGTGTAACAAAACAAGCCATAAGTAGCCATTCATACGATGCCATATGCTAGCTGAGCAAGTAACTACATTAGTCACTATCAGTTGCAAATTACTTGTTGAAAGCCGTGCTTGTAATTTATTTCTCGGGAATTCTATCAGCTACATAACAAACTGCGATGTTAGGTGTATCTAAAATCAAGCTTAGAGCCTATTTTTCAAATTTTTCTCTGGGCGTGCTCAAGCGCCCAGCTGTGCCGTCACGCACTTTACCTCGCTCCCCTTTTCTGGCCCTCCAATTTTATTCTGCTATTTATTTTGGCTCGCGGTCAATCAACTTGGGGAAACCCTCATGTAGACCGTTTCTTAAATACATACCAATTTTTTAAGGATGCAAACAGTTTTATCGCTAATACCAAATTATTTACCACTCCCTAAATTTCGAACACCCTCCCTTCCCCCTGAAATAAAAAGCTGGGGAACATACTGGATGGTGCGTATTTTATACTCTGGAAGGTGATAATATCTAGTCATGTTGTTGTGTTTTCGGGATAATATTTATTCAACCACTGCGAATAATCATGAAGATGACTTGTTTCACGTATAGGTTGTCACTGATCTGGTCATTACTTATGAGAGAAATTACCAATTGGACCTGCATTGTGGATGACCATGCATCACAGTTTATTTTTTCATAACTAGTCCAGGGGTCACCAACCTTTTCGAAGCCGAGAGCTACTTCTTGGGTACAGATTAAGCTGCGGGCTACCAGTTCAGTGTACACTTCTAAAAAACTCAGTTGCTCGATTGAGCTTCAATTATTGATATAATTACTGGTATTTAGTGAAGTATAGAGTATAGACACTAATAAACTTTAGGATTCTTCAGGAAATCAAACGCATATCACAACGTTGCAAATAAATTTCTATCAATAACACTTGTATTTCAAAACTGAGTGTTTTTAAATTGATTCACAACAATCTCCACAAGTCTAAGATAAAATGGATTTAACAGTTGTACTATCAAATGTTGCAGAGTATTATACTCCGACGTGTAACTTGACACTGTAACTCTGAGCGAGTCTTGCAGATTTTCGTCAGTGAGGCGTGTTCCATGTTTGTTCCTGGTGGAGTGAGTCGCGGCGCTATGGCCCATCGTGTTAAGCGTTAGGTTCGCAGGTTAGAATCCCACGCGGGGATAGTTATGTACGAAAGGATTGCTGGACTCCTCGCCGCCGTAGGGTGGTTCACGTAACCGCTGCCTTCGCCATCGAGTTCATGCTTCCGGAAACAAATAACTAACTAATCCCATACCCGACATCGAATGGTGACCGACCGGCTTTCTCTGTCCGTACTGGGCTGACCAGTGGGTTGTTAGCGCGGAAGATTACGTGACAATATGTGAAATATCTCTTTGCTTTGCCGTCGCTAAAATCGCCCCACTAATGAGACACACGCAGGCTGTTTTCATGGTGGTAAAAATATATCCACCTCCCATTCATCGTGGAAATGATGGATTTTTTTCTTTGGAATCAATAATTGTATACTGCTCCGCTAACCAACGGACAAGAAAAAACGCGGGTTCGTGGTAAGTGATCTCAGTGTGATGTCATAATTGGAAGAGTGTTAATTGACCCGTCACATTACTGAGGTCAAATAAAAAAAAGGTTGATGGTTACAATAATTATTATAGTGTCATTTCTAGTTCCCATATAAGTGTGATTTATACTGAAATAGCAGGAAAAAATTCAATTGATGTAGCTTACTTATAAGAGCCGTTATTAAGCTTAGTTTGGAACAGACCTGCGGGCGACTCATATGGTCTGCGCGGGCGACTTGGTGCCCGCGGGCAACGCGTTGGTGACCCCTGATCTAGTCTATGACGTTTTTCTGTAATTGGTTCACTTAATGAGATATTTTAACAAATATGTAAAAAATAAATAAATGTACAAAATAAAAGAAAGTCCATACTCCATTATTCATTCATAATCCATTTGGTAAATTGAGTTTCATAGTTTTTCCAGTTTGTTTCAGCAGTGATAATATTCCATGATAATGAAGTTATTTTAATAATTACAATGAGTAATGAGCAATGAGTAAAAAATAAGTAAATGCAAAAAACTTAGTATAAACCTAATTTACTATTTAAATTAATGCTTCACATAAATTTTGTAATTTTTTATCAAAGGCTTTGTCCACTCATTTTCTATATTTTTTCTATAATTTAGGGGCATTTTTATCTGCTTTTTAAGGAGAGCAATATCAGTTGTCCTATTTTCAAATATGATAGAATTTCTCATAATCCAAATTTTTATCGTACTATTGATAATAAAGAATGATCGCATTCAAATCTACAGTTGCTATATGACTAAATAAAGGATCAATAAAATTTAATAACATACAAGAATCATAATTTATAACTGAATATATATTCTAATTAATTTTAATATAATTAAGTAAACACAATCATCATAAATTTTCTTGGTGAACTCACAAGACATAAAAATATGTGACACAAACTCAGGCTCTTTTTGCATAATAAACGCATTTCATTTCCTGCTACTCTCTTGATCTCTGATTTTGT